GATGTTAGCAGGGTTGGTCAGGATCTTGTCTCCCATCTGGCAGAGGATGCTCCAGGAATGTGTATGTTTTCCTTACCACCAGAGCACTGCTCCCAAGCTCTGTTTTTCTTAATGACCCAGGCCAGGTCACATGAGTCTTAATCACTGCTTAAGACTTGGAGTAGAGCAGGAGTTATCAGCCCAAGGCCTTGCAGTGGATATAAACTTTTTTGCTAGCTCAACTGGAGAAAGGCACTCATATCATGTAACAGGAGATGAGATATTCCACTAAGCATGCAGTATGCATGGCAACTCCTCTCCGCCCCCTCCCCATCACACTCACATAGACATAGCAAACAGCCCCATCTGACAGGAGGCAGAAGAAGGCCTGTTCTTCTCCTGCTGTATCTTTTTTTTATCCCTCTGGCACATGAAGGAGAAAGTTGGTCCCGTGGAAGTCTTCAGGCTGGTGGAGAATATAATAAGATAGTCATTGGTGCAGGTGCAAGAGACAGGGATGAGGATATAGGAGGAGAAATGCTGGGTGTGGCCCTCCTGAGGACAGGGTCAGAGAAAAGCTCATGATCACCCAGTTTACTTGGCATTATTCTTGAGGTGCCACTCAGTGCAGACTAATTAAAAGAAATGAGCCAGAAATAAGGAAGAGGTAAAATGATACTTGTATATAATTTGGAAAATTCAGAAAATCAGTGATCGAAAGAGTTTGATGGAGTGGCAAGGTACAAAATGGTAAATGTAAAGATACTTCAAAAAGTTAGTGGAAGTGGAATTGGCCTCGTGCCATGGCTTTTCAGATCAAGCTGCCTCCTGTAACACCAGCATGCCACATGGACTCCAGTTTGAGACCTGTCTGTTCCACTTCCCACCCAGTATCCTGCAGATCATCTGGGAAGGCAGTGGGAGACAGCCAAGTGCTTAGGGCCTGCACTCACACAGGAGGTCCAGGGAACATTCTTGGGTCCTGGCTTCAGCCTGGCCCAGCCAAGGCCATAGTGGCCATTTGGGGAGGGAACCAGCAGATGGGAGACTCTCTCTCTCTCTCTAACCCTGTATTTCAAACGAACGAAATAAATGTGCTAGCACAAAGAAATTGAAAGCCTTACATAGTTTATTTTTCATCATATGCAACTAGATAGAAGATATAATGAGAGAAATGAGCTCGTTTACAATAGGAATTTAAAATGTAAGATAATAATTTGGATCATCTAGAGAAGGATTTAGTTGTAATTCATATGTAAGCAATAAACAGTTCTTTAAATCAGATAGAAGTTTCTGTCTTATTCATCTAAAATCTGCATGGGAGTGGGCAGTCCAGAGGGGATTCCTAGATGCTGCTCTTTGTCTTTGTGGTGGAAGATAGCTGTTAAGAGTCCATTGATCATATCCTTCTTAGGCAACAGGTAGAGGAAGGAAAGTAAATGAAGAGGAAGGTGATTCCTTTTAAGGAGACTTCCACACTCTGATCAACTCAAATTTAGTCACTTAGCCATATTAAGCATCAAGGCAGACTTTCTAGTTTATAAATGCTAGGTTCTGTGTGCATGGACTAAAAAGAAAAAATAATGCTGTCTTACTAAAAGAAAGTGAAAATAGATATTGGGGCATCCAGCAGTGTGCCATAAAAATAAATCTAGAAATGTTCAAGATCTGTATGAGAAACCTTAGAATGTTTCTAAAAGAAACAGATAAGACTTGAGAAAACAGAAAGACAAACAATATTATTGGATAAGAACACTCAGCATTGTAAAAATATCAGCTCTCCCCAAGTTAATTTATAACTTCAAATATGTTTCCAATAAAAATAGCACCAGAGTTTTCTTAACTTAGACAGATGATTCTAAAGTTCATATGGCAGATACGTAAGCAAAAGAATAGCCAAGAAATTTTGAGAAGAGATAGGGGACCAACCCTGGTTGTTAAGACAGATTATAAACCTGCAGTAATTAAACGAATATAATAAAGCATTGTTATAGAATGAAGGTTATGGAAGTGTCCAAGTTCTTATGCAGGTTTAGTGCCTATATTGCATAAAGGTGGCATTTCAGCCAGTGGGGAAGAGTGAGCCATTCATCCTCTGGGATTTGGGCAACTTAGGAGCTATCCAAAAAGCAGCAAAGTCAGACAAATACCCCATATCTTTTATCAAAATAAATCTAAGGGCTGGCATTGTGGCATGCTGGGTTAAGCTATCACCTGTGATACTAGCCACCCTCATGGATCCCAGTCTGTATCCGTACTTCTCCATTTACAATACAGCTCCCTGCTGGCATGCTTGGGAAGCAGAAGAAGATGGCCTAAGTCCTTGGGCCCATGGATTCAGGGGCTTCTAGCTGCTGGCTTCAGCCTGGTCCAGCCCCAGCTGTTGGGGATCATTTCAGGAATGAACTGGCAGATGGAAAAATGTGTTTCTCCCTCTCCCTCTGCCTTTCAACCAAATTAAATAAATCTTAGAACAGATCCTAAAACATTGGACACTTTCTATTAATATGATGAAAGCATAAAAGTACTAAGAACAATCTTGTGCAAATGTTTTTATCATTTTGAAATGAATAGAGTCTTCTCAATTAGGAGATAAAATCCAAACACCATAAAATGAAGCATTGATTCAATTACATAATAGAAGCATGACAGAACCACCATAAGCAATGTCAAGAGGCAGATGCTGCTGGGAATCCTGGAAAAGGTATCTGCTCTTCTTATCCCACGTAAGTTAATTTTCTGATAAGGAAGAAGCTCATATAAATCAACAAAATACAGGCACTGTGAGAGAAAAATAAGAAAATAACTTTAGAAAAAAATGCATATACTTTTTAAGCATAAGGGGAATGCTCAAACTTACAGAGAAACCTAAGAATATAGTGATGTATGTTCACCTATCACTTAAACATGTTGGCAAGAATATGGAGAAGTTGAAACAACCTCCATAGAAAATTCACAACTCTAGAGTAGCTGATTTAGAAATTTTTCTTGGAAATGTGCCTTCGTGTGGAAGTATATCCAGCACTGCTGTTTCTAACAGCATAATATGGGCAGCATCCTAAATATCCCACAGAATAGAATGATAGAGTATTATAGAGCCTTTTGAAGAATCAGGGAGCTTTTTATGTGCCATGACAGAAAGAGCTGTGGTATGGAATGAGGAAGAAAAGAAGACCTCAAAGAATGTAGATAGTAAGCCTTGATTTAGTGAAAGGAGAGAAATGAACACTGATTCCCATTCTCTTATGTATGTGTGAAGTATGACTTAAAGGCCACATGAGGAATGAGGCATTACTGCTTTTACGAATAGCATTGCCAGTGTCCTCATTGGGTATGCCATGTGGGTTTTGGCAATGTTCCTTTGGATACTAGGGCGTGACAGGGCATGTAACTCAGCCCCCAAATGTCAGCCTCCTGATGCCATACACATAGGCCAGTAGGGGGACAGGGTGCCCAGTTCCCTCTGTAGCTCATTTCATTCATGAAAGAAGTGAATGCAGCAGTTTTGAAGACCTTCTGCTTTCACACCCAGTATCCCATGAGCCCCCCAAGCGGGAGTGGTAGAGATGGCCAGGTGTCTTTACCAGAGCTGAGCCATGGCAGTGGTGAAACCCATGCCTAGTCTCATTTCTCTGCTAACTCCAGCCTGGGCTGCACTGTGGCCACCTGCACTGTGGCCAGGGCCTAGCAGCTTGGCCCTGTTGGGCTCATTGTTTTTGCTGTAGCTGGCAAGGGTTTATTGAGAGCAGCACATTGATGAATTTGTTTTTTTTTTCACAAGGAGTCCCCAGCAGTAAATGAAAGCAGGGTCATCATACTATACAGGCAGGTCCTAAAATGCTTTCTGTCTCCCCTTTTTACTCAGGCTTGGGTGATGACTCGAGTTCATGTACAGATACTAGCAGGCTTGGGAATGTGGTCCCTGCTGCTTGGTATGTGGGAGGCAATGGGTCTTCTCTGTAAGGCCTCTCAGCCCAGGGCAGCTGCCAAGGAGGCCCAGCATGGGGAATTCTGTCTGGGCAGTCTTAAGCCCTAAGGGGCCAGGCTGGAGGACAGCAGGCATAGTGACTGTTACTAACACTGTTTTATCACAGGGCACAAGTTGAATCCAGCATGACATCCTAGCCGTGACATGCTACAGGAACCACCTGAGCTTTGCAGGACCAGATGAGTGCAACCAGCTAGCCTGCTTCCCCACCCTTCAGCCTTGCTCCTGACCAGCCTGCCCATACCTACATGTCTGCTCTTGTAGATGCTTCAGGCTGGTGCAGGCAGGGCTCCCACATCTCTTAGCATGAATGCCCAGCCCTTCTCATTGGCATTCTAGTCTCTCCCAGGTTGGTTCAGCACATGTCTTGTTGGGCTATTCGCCGGGGCCCACATCGCCCGTCTTCTCCCTACTTTGTGTGTTGGCTGTATTGCCTTCCCCTCTTTTCCTGCCTTCTTTCTTCATGGTCTATCTGAGTCTGACCTGCTTTGCATACTCCTCTTCAGTGTCACTGTTTTCTGGGGTCACTCAGTGCCCACACCAGCTCTCTGTGGTCTCCCTCTCTGAAACAGAGCAGTTTGCATAGTTGTGCCCTTGCAAGCAGCACCCAATTTCCAGGTAATTTTGTCCAGTGTTATGACTTTAATATATGTCAGCCTGAGGATTCTAGGGTTAACTCAGAGGATGGTAGGTGAGCTGCTGTTTTCTCTCCCAACAGAGTCTAAATAATGGGAGTTTTAGCACACAATAAACTCTTGGTATACACTGACTTCAATCTATGAAGTGATAGCAGTCTTCATATATTCTTGGGCTGACAGAAGCTCCTTCCTCACACTGGGAAAGAGTGGAAGCACCTGGTGGGTTGAGCATCACCAGAGAGAACTCCTGGACTGTGATGGGTATGGAAAAGGTCAAGCCTCCCTCAGACTTCTGTTTCCGCAGCATTCCCTGGAGTGGGCATGACTCTGCAACTCCACAAGACCATCTTGGAGCCAGTGAAGCATTCACCAAATGGCCCTGGTATTTCTTGCAGGGATTTGAAACTGGACAACATCCTTCTGGATGCAGAAGGTCACTGCAAGCTGGCCGACTTCGGGATGTGCAAGGAAGGGATTCTGAACGGCGTGACCACCACTACATTCTGTGGTACCCCTGACTACATAGCTCCAGAGGTAAGACACTGGAACAGAGGCACTGCCTCCCCTTGGAGGGCTGGGTCAGGGGTCTCAGCCCCTGCACCAAAGCCATGGAGTGGTGCTCGGCAAAGACTCTGGAACCCCAGGATTAACCCTAACAAGGAGGGAAGAAAGGGAAGGCCAGAGCCCTGCTGATTCTCCTGAGGAAGTCACAGCAGTTGGGGAGAGAACAGGGCCACTGCCCAGGTTTGGACCAGAATAACCAAACCAACTGAGGCCAGTTGAAATGTATTGACTTGTGCCATCATTTCTACTTCTTGATAGTTAGACTAAGCAGGAATTAGCTTGATCAGTTGAAATGAGCACTGTAAAACCAGCAGTGGTTGGCCATTTCCAGTGTAGTGTCAAGTTTTATGCAGGGGGCACTCAGGACAAAGCAGGAAGTGGGAATGAGCTTGCCTCATCAAAAAGGATCAGGAATGTTCACCATGAGCCTTGACAGTGGGCCACCTTGGGAACATTGTTTGGATATTTTGCTTGTTGTCAAGTTTACCTTTAGCTCCTCAAGGTTAATGTTGCCCAAACTGAGGAAGGTCATATCACCTGGTGTGATGTGCAGCTGTAAGACATGGCCTATCATAGACGTTTAACAAGCATGACCTTGATAGCTCTGAATCACATAAGATAGGAAAGAAGGGTCAATTCCCAATAAACCTTATCTGGGGTGGACAGGTTGTAGCACATTCTGATTTCATTTCTTTTCAGTGGGCATTGTTAGAGCCAAATACAATGTAATGGGGGATGAAGAATTGACTGAAACATTGGGTCCCTCTTTTAAAGGAATTTTTAGTTTACACAGAGTAACACGTATGTGAACAAGTAGCCAACCAATGAGTAGGTATATAAAAAGGGATACCTCGGGGATCATGGAAGGCTTATTAGAGCACATGGTGAGTTGAGTTCTGAAGAATAAAGGAGTTTCATTAGTGGGAAAGCTGGGAAAGGCATCCTGAAAACCCCAGAGTGGTGTGGAAAAGGGGCAGAGCAGAGGAGGTGGCATGGCATGTCTAGGATCGGAATCCTGTGAGAGCACTGTTGATGTTTATAACCTGGGTACTCCTAAAATCCAGCACACAAATCAGACTGTTAGTAATGGTTGGTGGAATGAATAAACAGGAACCTGTGACATTATAATGTGAGCAAAGCTAAGGCGTGGAAACAGCCTGTCCCATTTCAGCCATGTTCAGCAGAGCAGCTAGAACAGAGCCTCCTGGTTCTGCTGGTCATAAATGAGATTAGGATACAGACTAAGGGATATAGATTTAATCCTGTAGAGTCTGTGAACCCACGAGCTGCTGTCATGGAGGAGGGTTCTAAATGGCCAGGAAGAAGCTAAACAGTAGGTCTGCAGATCAGAAAGCAGAGGAAGGATTAGATAATTGAACATATTTCCACCAGCCAGACAAGACATGAAGATGCCTGTGGTGGGGATGAAGGGTATCTTAGGAGTGTACAGGTGAATTCCTTTTAGAATTCCTTTATCTCCCAAGAGACCTGAAAAGAAGCCACTTTAGTGTTCCTGCTAGCATGTTTCTTTAGCAAGCATACCCAGAACTCAACCTTCCAGGAAAGAAATAAGAAGCCTCTGAATCGGACCTACTTTTCTCATCATCTTCCTTCATTGCTTGCTATCCAAATGCTCAGTTCCAGTCCTCCTGTGACTTGAGGCCAGAGTCAAAGCATTAACAGCCCAGCAAGGTGGTGAAGGAACTAGCCCAGAACAAATGTTCACTTTACAATAAACAAAGCTCTTATTGCACTTTCATGGAAAGCCATCCATGGGCAAGACTCACCAAGGTCTGCTCTGCTCTGCTCTCTGTTTATGAAGAGCTTGGTGTCTTCCTTCACTTTCAGCCTTTGTGGCCACCAGGTAGATTCACCATTGCACTAGAAATGGCCCATGATCCCTCCTTTTCCTGTAGGAAAATTACAGCTGATAAAGCTGTTTCTGCCTTCATCAAGCACTAAATGGCAAATGACATGAGATGATAACTCTAGAGCACTTAAGGCATGGCCGCAGGGAACCTGGCTAGATGGTGGTTCCATCCCTGTTTTCATTGTTTAATTGTATATGCAGTGGGGACAGCACCAGTCTGAGACCCAGGGCTGAGCCAAACCTGATCTTGCTGAAGTCACAGAATATGCTTGAGCCTTGGGTTCCTTGTATTTCAAATGGGAATTACAAGTGCTACCCTACCCACCTCACCAAGCTGGGGTGACTCTAATGCGATTAGAGCACAGAGGTGCTTCTGAACCATAAGCCTGTCCTCAAATAGGAGAGGCTAACCCAAAACTGGAGATATCTTCTGAGGTCTTGGCCCTGCTCCGGAACTTTCTATTCCTTGACTAACGCCCATGGCACCCACTCCTTTCTCCACGCCCTTTCTGGCCCTATCAGGCCCAAGCCCTGCCCTTCTTTCCCAGCTCTGCCCACTTGAACGGTTGGCTGCTATACTAGATGACCTCCTAGAAGCAAGCAAAGCCTTGCACCTGTTACCAGTTCCAATGCTGGAAAGGTGATTCACTTAGGCCAAGCCTGAAAGCAGTTTTAAATAGATGTCTCTCAAAACAAGAAGACTCTGGAAAGGGTCTGTGGTGAAATGTGGGCGGGACCACCCTGAGATTGCCACAGAGCAATCCAATCTGAGCTCAGAGAGGTCTCCTTCTCTATATACCTCAGGGCCATAGAGCCGTAGAGTCTCACCTCCCTTAGGCTCTTAAGTGACCACCTGAGCACCCAGAGTCCCTGAGCGCAGGTGTGAAGGGAACACAGCCCAGAAAAGTGGCACAGTGGACATATCTTCCAGTCAGGTGTGGATGGGCCAGTTCCAGTAGGGAACTCTGAAGAAGGCTAATGCCCCTACTTTAAGTGTTTTATTGACACTGAGGAGGAACTAGTTGGACATGAAAACATTAACCAAAACTGGCAGTGTGTGACCAAAATGTTTGCAAATTTTAGAAATAGGCAAGTGCTATGGAATGTCAGAGGATAGCAAAAAGGACTGGGGAAATCCAATAAAGCTTTCTTGAGGAGTTAGGTTGTACTCCAGACATTGAAAGACAGAAATTGGTAGTCCATAATGAGCCACCTTGGGTTCTGGATCTTTCTGAGCAGAGAGAGTGGCTGGTGTTGCTTCAGAAAGGAGAGCAATCTCTGACACCACAGGACAATGGAACCCATACCCCTGACCTTGCAGATCCTGTACATGAACCAAGAGACCAGATCCAGTGTTAAAAAAAAAAAAAAGCCGGGATTTTCTACCATCTTCCAGTTGCACAAAGCTTGATGTCATTATACCTTGAACCTGAGTGATTTGGACACTACGTATTTGGCCAGTGGGAAGAAGAGACAAAGAGAGCCTCAATAAGACAAGTACCCGTTGTCAAAGAATGAGGATGGTGTCAGAAAAGCAAGGGGCCTGATGCTCTGTGGAAGCAAATGCTCAAGACAGAGGTTCATTTGAGATTTATGGGCATCTTGAAAAATGATGGGAGTGAGTCGTTCCTTGGATTCCTTTGTGAGTCAAACTTACAACTGGAGGTTTAGGAACTGTCCTGTCCTGGGAGCAAGGAACTCAGATTCCACATGTCCCCACGCCAGAGCTGAGCCTGCTCACCCTGCCACTTGGGACATGAGCAAGCCCTGGGCTCTGCGTGGAAGAGAGACATGAGCTTTCTGCCCCCTTGGTCACAGTTTCTTTACAATGTCTTTATAATGTAAGCTAGACAGAGAATGACACATACTGCATATTCTCCAATGTATTTGGAATCTAAAATTCAAAAGAAGTGCCTGCGTGTATCAGTATTGGTGCAAATATGGTTTTGTGAAGCTTTGTGGGATTTTTTGTTTGGTTTTTTTTAATATATTGTTATCATATAGGAGAAAGCAGTGGGAGGCGGGAGTGTAATTAGAGAGGGTGGAAGGGGAAATCCCTGAGCCTATGGAACTCTATCATAAAAAACAATTAAACATAAATAAATAAAAAATATTTATTTATTTTTATCAGAAATTCACATTTACAGAGAAAAGGAGAGACAGAAGGATCTTCCATCTATTGGTTTATTCTCCAAATGGTCTCAGTGACTAGAGCTGAGCTGATTCAATCCCAGGAGCCTTTTCTGGATCTCCCACGTGGGTGCAGGGTCCCAAGGCTTTAAGCCATCCTCTGCTGCTTTCCCAGGCCACAAGCAGGGAGCTGGATGGGAAATAGAGCAGCCAGGACACAAATCAGCACCCATATTGAATCCCAGCACTGGCAAGGGGAAGATTAGCTGATAGAACCATTGCACCAGGACAAAAACTTTTGTTTTGTACCTTTGTCAAACCAATGGCTAAGAACATTATTATGGCTCTAATGATCTGTGATTATTTTAAAGTTAAAAAATAAAAATAAGCATTTTGAAAAAGAGAATATCTAATCTCCATTGTAAAACAGATACTTTCCCATATAACCCCGATTCTTAAAAATTTTGATACATATAAACTAATTTGTGGATTTATATACTAAAAAAATTAAACATTATTTCTCAACATGGCCCTAAATATAAGTCAGGAGTGTGTGGTACTCAAGTAGAAACAGCAATATGCCCCCACTGGAGGACAGATGTCCATTCTGACCTGTAGAGTGACAGTTGGTCCCCAATGGCCCACCCCACAACTCAGTTCTTACTGAATGTGCTGATTGGGACCCTCCCCCCGTAACATGGAGCTCTGTCCTTTGGAGCAGACAGCTGGACACAGCCATCCTTTCTTGGAGCATCTGTGACTTGGGTTGGCTAGTGCAGACACCTTTGGTAGTGCCTGATGTGCATTTTCTGCACAGATCCTGCAGGAATTGGAGTACGGTCCCTCCGTGGACTGGTGGGCCCTCGGCGTGCTGATGTATGAGATGATGGCCGGGCAGCCCCCGTTTGAAGCCGACAATGAGGACGACCTGTTTGAGTCCATCCTGCACGATGACGTGCTGTACCCGGTCTGGCTCAGCAAGGAGGCCGTCAGCATCCTCAAAGCTGTGAGTGCTCACTGCCCTTCTCCCCTGCGTACACACACATTCACGCATGCACATGTGAGCACACAAATACACACACACGTGTACCTCCTTGCTGCTGTGTCTGCCTTATGTCTCACATACCCTACCCCATGCATAAGCTCTGTTTCTTGGTTGTTCTGCACCGCCCCCTGGGTATTTCCCAGTGTTTACAGGCAGAGACACTTGTGTGTAGTTCCTCACCTCTTTTATCCCAGCTGGGTGCACCTTCTCTGTCCTCTTCACATGTCTTTGCTCTTTAGGCTCATCAACATATGTGTGTCTGCGCATTCTAGCTCTGCTTTAAGCCACTCTGTAGTGCTCCTCTGTGCTGCCACCTGCCCCTCCTTCCTGGGTCACTGACTCAGGATAGCGATGGAAACCTTTGCCCACTCTTAGTCCCACAGCCCTGCCTTGTTCCAGGACAGTGAAGTCACCGAGGGATAGCCAGAACACTGTGCCCCGCTGCACCATGCCCTAACACCAGCCCTGGGTGTCTTCCTGCTGGCATACCCACCAAACCCTTGCATTTAAGATCACCCAAAGCCGGGCTTTTCAGCTGGGTAGGATTGTAGGATTGCTGTCCATCTGCCCCTGAGATGTTGAGCAACAACTGGAGCTGCTGTTGGTTGTCTTTACCTCGGGGAGGAGTTACTGCTGGCCTGGAGCAGGCAGAGGCCGGGAAGGCTGCAGGTATCCAATCCCAAAAGGTCAAGGACAGCCAAGCTGTGCTGGGTGGTAGGTGAGGGTGGAGGCTCCCGGAGGAGACCGTCTGCCCGCTGGCTCGGGGGCAGCTTCCAGAGATGTGCAAACCTGTGTGTTTACCCCGAGCCTTGATGCTTCCCTGCCAGAGGAGGGAGGACAGGAAGAGCTGAGGAAGTGAGGAGGAGTCTTCCACTCCCTTGGCCTTGAAACACTTCACTTCCTCACATTGTCACTTGCCTCCAGGGCCAGGCCAGGTTTTCCATGACCCTGGTTGCTGAGCCATGTCCCTGAGGACTTCTGCCTGTGTGAGCCTGGTGCAGAACCGACCATAGGCAGGGCCATTTGCATCACTGAATCAAATGGCAACTGTGAGTGGCCATCCTGCTGCCTCCTTTTCTTAGCAACCAACCCTTCAGTGCCTTTTGTTTGGTTGTTACAGTTGGAAAATATGCACTGCTCCTGGTGGTGGGTGCAAAGAACTGACTTCTACATTGCAGGCCTCACCAAAAGATATTTCTAGACAAACTTTAATTCAAATGAACTAAAAACTTGGAGTTCAGGGTAGCAGTACAGCAGGGAATCTGGGGAGGCTTCACAGAGGAGACAGCAAACTTGAAGAAGCAATCATCTAGAAGGAATAAGGTTGCAAAGTAGACAGGGTGCAGACTGAAGGTCCCCAGGTGCCATTATGTGGACCATCCTAGGCACTTGAGCAGAGGTGAGCTGGCTGGCTAGTAGGACGGAAAGACAAAGTTCATGGGAACCACTCCTAACTCGCTCTGCTCCGCATCCCTTTGCCCAGTGAGCTGTGACCCTGGCCCCCTTCCCAGCAGCACTGAGGCCATGCCCGTGTGCTTTGATTTCAAGGGTACCAGTGAGGAAATAGAAAGCTCTACCTTCTTGAGAGGCATAAAATTCTACCATTAGAGATTCCTCTGCTACTTTGTCAACTCAGATTCTTTGATTTAGATATGGGCACTCAGCCTTCAGCCTTTGTCTCTGGCACGTACATGCATGCACACCTCCGACCCCATCCTTCATCCTCATCTTGTGGTTGGCCGTCAGAGATAGCTGTGCCTTTTAGCACTGTTCTGCCATGAGGTCGTGGGGAGTACACCTGCGCAGGTAAATGAAGATTTACAGGCAGACCAGATTCACAGGAAAGGAAAAAAAAATGTTCATCTGGAAAGAGGGGATCCCAAGTAGCTACCCAGAAAGTACAAGCTGCAGCAGGGTAGTTTTTTGCTTTTAAATGTTGGAAGGCACTGTCCCTTTTTCTTTTTCTTTTTTTCCCCTAAACATCTTCAGATCTACAGGGGCATTTGGAATAGAGATTGCAAATCTAAGGAGTGTTTTGTTTTGTTTTGTTTTGTTTTGTTTTGTTTTGTTTTGATGTGGACAGAGGCCAGGTCCAGGAAAAAGCAAAGGGACAGAAGATACAGTCACTCATTGGCCTTTGCAGGATGCCAGATCCTCTGAGGCTCAAAGGCTTTCCATCTGTCCTTGTCAGTGAGTTTCCCTGATGAGGAGCTATGAGGACTCAGGGGGATCAGACAGTGGGACCTTCTCATATACAGATTAAGGTGGCAGCATGATGACTAGCACACAGGAAACCTGAATAAAACATTCAAAAGCAGGAGGTGTGAGAGGCAACATGGACGCATGAGCCTGGGCTGTCTGGGCGTCCCCCTCGCAGCCCTGGTCCACTAAGCCTGTCAATGACTATCTCATGTCCTCATCCCCATAGTTCATGACCAAGAACCCGCACAAGCGCCTGGGCTGTGTGGCAGCACAGAACGGAGAGGACGCCATCAAGCAGCACCCCTTCTTCAAGGAAATTGACTGGGTGCTGTTGGAACAAAAGAAGATCAAGCCACCCTTCAAGCCCCGGATTGTAAGTTGGTCCCCCTGCCATGCCTTCTACACATGTGTGAGACCAGGGTACAGTGTGCCCGTTGAGCACATGCTCCCTGTTGTGGTCAAGAGGCCCTGTGAGGACTCCCCCAGCCCCGGCCCCAGAAGCTGGGGGTGGGGAGAGGGTGTGGCAGAGACTCCCTGGGCTCTGGCTGGCTCAGGATGATGTCACTCAAACCTTGAGCCAAAAGGCTGCACTGTGTGGACCCCAGGGGATGCTTTCTGTTCTGATAGACGGGTTGGATGATGTGTGATCAAAAATAACCATTGGTGTGAGCTGAATGGACCTGGTAGAGAAATCAGAGTTCTTGGCATATCGGTGGGCTTGCTTTTCAAATGGGCTAATAGAGAGAGACTAAGCTGGATTGTGGGATTGTGGGAGCAGGACAGAGCGTGCTTGGGGCCTTTTGGCTGTAGTTGGAAGAAGACAGTCCTCCTAGGAACCCTTGGGGAGGCCCGAGGTGCCAGAAGCTGGATCTCAGAGTCCTTTCTGAGGTCCCCATTTCTGTCCACACTCCCTCCTCCTCCTCACAGTCTCAGCACATGCTTCTTTCCAGAATCTAGGCCTGTCGTGGTGCCTGTGGGAGCTGGGGCTTGGGAGGAAAACAGCTGCATCAGGGCTAGGTGTAGAAGAGGGCCAAGGTCATGTCCTGGTGATGGTCTGCAGCCTGGATAGAGTGAGGCTCAGGGAAGTCCTGCTCAGAGGCAGAAGATGAATGGGGGCACATCCAAGTTCTGCCTTGTAGCCCAAGGTAACACACAGGTGTGTAGCCTGGGCCTGTGGCCAGCAGCCAATGGGAGCTGCAGGAACTAGGAGGTAAGTGGGACCTGGGGTCTCTGGCAGACAAGGTCTCAGCCTGTCTGGTTTCTTGCTGCCCTCATTGCTGTCAGCTGAGCCCTCCTTCTGGCCTCCGAATAGGACGGAAGGAAGGAAGGAAGGAAGGAAGGAAGGAAGGAAGGAAGGAAGGAAGGAAGGAAGGAAGGAAGGAGAGAAAAGAAAAGAAAGAAAAGAAAGGGAAGGAAAGGAAGGAAAGAAAGGAAAGAAAAGAAAGAAAGGGAAGGAAAGGAAGGAAAGAAAGGAAAGAAAAGAAAGAAAAACCTTCCTTCCATGCTTTGTAACTCATCCAAAGGAGTCCCACTCTATTACAGGAGGTCTTGGGGTACATGACCAATTATGCTGCGGTTCTTAGGAATAACCCACGGATCCAGGGACTTACAGCTGGTGCTGTGACCCACACTGGAGCCCCAGTGGGGAGAGGTGGCTTACCACCTGTCCTTAAGCATCATGTGGCTTGCGTGGTGTGCACTGCTTAGGTCAGGCTAAGCTCAGCTCACCTTCTGTCTCTAATATCACTTGTGCTCCGGCCCACATCACCACTGCCAAGCCTGTGCTGTGGGGGCTAAAGCAAAAGGGTTTGGGAAGCAGGCTCCCTGGAGTGACCAGTCAGTCCCCTGCCATCCACAGGCCCCACAACAGCTGCCAGGCTGCTGATTCAGACACATGATCTTCAAGGGCACAGTCCACTGGCTGAATCCCTGAGCCTGTGTGGGTAGGAGAGCCCAGAGGCCAAGAATGGGATGGGAGGAAGGTTAACAGCTCCCATCTGAGCATGGATTTTTGTAAGTCAATTGCCCTTAAGCAAAATGACAAGTAGAGCATCTGGCCTGAACAGCAGATATCCAGACTCAAACAGGCTATATTTAGATGGAGATGATGAGTGAAGAAGAAAACCACTTAGAAGGGGGCTTGGGCAGCATGAGGCTGGGCTGGGACAGAAGAGTAGACCCCTTGGTGCAAAGTGGGAACACCCAGGCAAGATCCCAAGGGACCATCTGTGAGGGGTATGAAGTGGAGCAAGGGCCCGTGTGGGTAGAGTAGGCCAGGGATCCTAATTGAGAGGCCTTCTGGAACGAAACAATGAGAGAAGTGCTTCATCATCAAAGGTACCAAGGACATTGTCAAATAGGCAGTCATGGAGGGTGGGCAGGGGAAGCACAGGTGACATGCTTGGAGGTGTTTCCCAAAGAAGGCTTTATCCACCCATGCCCAGGGGGAGGTACAGGTTCTGGGATGGAAAGAGTTTGGAGAAGCTTGGGTCTCACAAGTCCTGCACACTAGAGCTGTAATGCCATCTGAGAGGAGCACACTCTGAGCAGTACTTGCTCCCCCACAGAGCTGGGGAAGTTGAGGCAGGGTGAGTGGTAATAGCTGGCCTGTGCATGAAGGGGAGGGGGCATCTGGTACACAGGGTGGAAGAGAAGAATGAGCGAGAAGTAGGAGGGAAGCCAATGCATGCCCTGCTCCTCCACTGATGTGCAGCCTGGACTGCAATTCAGATATGTCAGGTGTCCCTTAAAGCTGTGCTCAGCCAGGAGTGTTGCTGCTCCTGCAGGCAGGGGTGTGGGAAGCCCTAGAAACCAGCAGGAGGAACCCCTGCTATGAGTTGGGAGGGTCAGGTGTGTTTCCACCTCCACCTGGACTCATGGAGCACAAGATGCCAGTGCTTCCCTTCCTGGGGCCTCTCAGGAGCCCCCACCTGGGATATGAGGGCAGGACCCTGCTGGGTTTCTTGTAAGAGGCTCAGGTGGGCCTCCCCAGCCTCCCCTCTGCCAATACTCCCAACAAGAGCAGTTGGCTAGGAGCAAGCCCAGGGCTGTCTAGGAGCTCCCACTACCTTCAGAAGTGTCTTTCCCAGAGTTCTCCAAGAGAAACTTCATCATTACCTTGGGAGTCATTCTCCGGGCATATACCCCTCAGCCATGCTGGAGCTGCACATTGTCCTCCATGTTGGGCAGGGCCCGGCCTTGGGGGAGGTGGTGGTTCTCAGGTTGGTTTGCAGTCAGTCAGGAGGAGAGAATTAGAATGTTGCAGGGAGGCTGAGGAGGACAGGAAGCTGACCGCATGGGGATGGGAGGGAGGTTGTAGGGGAGGTTGTTCTCTGTGAGCTGATTCATGTTGCTGCCTGGAGGGCGCTCAGCCCCAGGCCCTGGAGACTTATCATGTAACTAGATCACCCATCACATGAATGCCCTTGAGACCAGAGACCTCTCTTGGAGAAATATCACCATGAGAAAGGAAAGGAGAAGCCAAGTCTTGCTAGCAGGTGGGAAAGGTGTCCCAAGTCTGGCCCTAAGTAGAAAACTTTCTCTTGGGAAACATTAGCTGCACCAGCCTGAGTCATCCTTGAGCGTGTGCATAGCAGAAGTGAATTTGAAGTTGAATTAAAGCCATTGCAGGGATGACTAGCCTGCATTTCTCATCTCAGGAAGCTTCCCAGGCTCATGTGAGGATTCACAAGAGGCTTCCCTGGACCATCAGTGTCCTCTTTACCAAGACAGGGTGTTCACCAGCTCACAGACCAGAGTCAGCCTTCCTGGAGACAAGAGGGGTGATATCCCACAAAAGGTTGGGGCAGGAACTGGGAAGCTGAGCTTTATCCCCGAGGAAACTGATCCCTTCTCCTGGGACAGGGAGTTCTGTCCTAGCACAGGCACTGCTTGGGCTTAAAGCATCCTAGAACTCAAGGTCACCTTGCACGCCTGCTTGGAGAGCTGGTAGGACAGGGAATTGACAGGGGAAGAAGAAAGCTGATGGGAAGAAATAGGACAACAAATCACAACCACCAGGGATAGTGTGAGGTCTGTGACTCTTGGGTCTTAGGAAATCCAAGTCAAAGGAAAGACTTTGTGAGAAGGGGTTGAGTTCATGAGAAAACACCACCCATTTTGCAATTGGTAATGGCCTCAACCTGTGCTTGAACACACAAGGAAATCAGATGCCCATACCCCTCCAGGGTAATTCAGTCTAAATGCCTGGGGTCCATGAGGAAGCCTGCAGTTTCCTCTTAGCCCAGGTCAATTCTCCTGGCTCCCAAACATATCCTGCTGACATCACAGCAGGATGCCACCTGTGCCAGGAACCTGCTGAGGAGCTGCCTGTGAGGCTAGGGCACACAGGGGCATGCTGCCTATCTGATCCAGGAAGACATGGGGGTTGTCAGGTGGCTCATCAGGTGCTGCAGGGGAGGCTGAGAGAGGGCATGTTGTCTAGTCCAGGACTAGGTACACAGATACAGCAGTAGCTTTGCCCAGAGCTCCTGGTCCTCCCCACTGCCACTGCCCAGAAACCCCCAAGGCACAGTGAGCCTCTTGCTCCACCCAGATGAGCTCACCAGAGGCTTGTGGTCCCTGGGTCTCCCCCACGGGACTCAAGGATGCAGTAGATCTGGTTCCTAGGCCTGCCTTCCACCACCTGACCCTAGCAAGCATGGCCCCGCAGAGGATGAAACTCACAGAGGAGGAGGAAACTGTACAGTCTCAGAGCTAGAGTCTGGTTTGGAGTCAGGTTGCATTACATACATGTTGAGCTGCTGGCCCCGCCAGGCCTTTGCCTTGCTGAGATGTTTACTGAGCTGAGAATCCTGCTCCCTAGCACCTGAGCTCCCTATCTATAAACTGCCCAGGCTCCTGAGCCGTCAACAGTGCAGCTGGGTCTCCTGCTGTGGGGCTGGTGTCCCTCTGTGCTGGCCCCCACCCAGGACCCTCTTCAGTAGCCTCTGCTTTCATTGTGGACAGTGCTATTCCTTAGTCCCCTTAGCGCTCTTCTCTGTCCTTGCTTTTCCATATCCTGTCTGTTGGTCTTCCCACCGACCCCTATACCCAGCCATGTACAAAACAGGCTTTGCACTAGCAATGTGCTATCAACATCAAACTGGAACCATCATGTTGTCTTGTGTGAGTCCATTTTCTGGGTGTGGCTTGCTTTGAAGAGCAAAGATGTCCAGAGGGGAAAGGTTTGGTGCAGGGACCCTAGTAGTGGTGCAAATGGTGGGCTAGGCGAACCAGCAAGCCTAGAGCTAAAAACCTTTGTCCCAGGAGAAGATCTGCTGACCTGGAATTCCTCAATTGGATCCATTGGAAATTCCCTCCCAAGAAGGTGATATTGTCCACTTGCCCATAGACGTTTCCCCTTTGGCTTGC